AGAGCTGTTCATGACCCGAACTGGCCGTGAACAGAAGCGTTCGTGACCCGAGGTACCACTGTATCTCTTTATATATCTTGGGAGCTCTTAACCTTTAGTAAGTACTTCCTGTGCAAGCTATTTTAGAGAAGCTGTATGTAGTATTATTATTTATTGTTTATTTATAGAGTGGCATCAGTTTTCATGGCACTTTACCGATAACCAGAGGACAGGTCCCTGCTCACAGGAATTTACAATATAAAATTTGACACAAGGGAGATAACAGAGAAAGTGGAGGCAGGGGTAAAACAGGGTAAGGATGTGGAATTCATGATGCAAAATTGGTAGCTTATTTATTTATGTCTTTTTAGTTGTTGGAACCAGAACTCTTAGAAAGACTAAAATTGCTAATTATGTTATGAACCAGTCTGTTTTGTTGTTATTGTACTTCTCCGCGCCTCTTCTGTCCAGTAGAGCAAAACTATGCTTGGACAAAAATTATAGTAAAATAACATTATAATAAGTTGGTAACTGATAAAACATTATAATAAAAGTAATACTATTATATTTAATGCCACAATTAAAAGCATTTCTCAAAAATAGAATTTATGACCATAGCAATTGATATAAAGGCAATGTGGGACAGCTGAAACCTTGCTTTTTCCTCTTTTTCTAAAATACATTCTGGCTGTTTTTTGTGTTCTATATTTCATTTCTTTATATTGTTTTATAATCAAATAATGTTTTATAAATTTTAATTTAAAAAAGTAAAGAATGTGCCACGGTTACTTCTAAAAGGTCAGTTCCATGCATATAGGATAGCAAGGAAGAAAAGGCAGAGTTTTTCTTGGGAGCAGTAATCTGTCAGACAATTTAGGATGATGGAGCCCAGTTAGTGAAGATTAGAGATAGGGGTATTTCTAGATATTAGAGTAGAAAATTAAGATAGTCACAGTGGTGGAAACTTGCAGAGGAGTAGCAGATCTATTACGTTATTCCTCCTTTTCTTACTTTAACAAAACACATTTCTTTTTCTTTCATTTCATTTGTTAAGTTACACTCTGCTATTTATTTCTCTTCTATTCCAAGTCACAGTCACCATATGGCCCCATAGATATTACCTTTAGCCACCCAGCATGTTTTAGTCAACTGGTGTTTTCACATAATGCTTCTTAGTAAGTTAGAGAAGTTGTAGATTAGGTTGCCAGCCAAACCACATACAGCATTCCCTGTTAGTGGTAAGGACATCAGTATCATGTTTTGGCATGTTTGGGCCAAATGCCACCAAGCCCAGTTTAACTTGCAATCATGTTCATGCTATTCTATGTAACTAAGATTTTCAGTCTAAATACTACCTTACAAGTCACCATACTGTTGCCCACCAATTAGTAGGTGTATGCAGCATGCTAATGTATACTCAGAATGCATCCCATAGTGGCCACCAAGAGAAACAAAATGCAGGATTAAAATGAGCTTTCTGAGATAATTACCTTGGTTTCAATCACTATGATGGTCATTATGAGGTTCTTCATGAAAGCTCAGCTGTTTCTTGGGTTTATGACAGGATAAGCAACCCTTGGTCAGTGTATTATTTTGTACCAGCTAGTTGAAAATTATTCTTAACTGTAGATTAGTAGTCAACAACTCCTGATTTTAAGGCCACGTGAAAATACCTTAGTGCAGGTTAAATGTGTTTTTTTAGGTTGCCCCAATTTCAGTCCAAAAGTCTCCACTCTTGTCAACATTGATATGCATTCTCTAGTCCAAGTCTGACAAAAATAAAGTTCCATCATCCAAGCTGCAAATAAATTTGTTTCAGTCCTCAATGCTCATGATGCCACCACCCTGTCTCAGACACAAGTGGGTTTAAAACACTACCTTCAAGCTCTTGCCTCATATTGTAAAGACTCATCCTCATTTATGCCAAAACAAAGGTACTGGTCTTCCTGGAGAGGCTTGCAAGATGTAGATATTACTGGAAAGATAATGACATCTTTGAACACAGTTTAGAATCTACATTTTGCTAGGAACAGAGGTGGTAGCTATATTTGTCTCACTATAAATATTTTTAGTCTAAGCTTCCATTTGGCTTGGAAGTTTGTAATTATAAAGATCCCAAGCCTCCAGAAGTGGTACAATCTAAATTTCTAAGAATTCCTCTGAGTCACTCTAATTCTTTATTGCATGTGGAATTTAGACTAGCTTCTCTAGAGACTCACATGCAGTTCCATTGTTGAAAATTCTGGCTAAAATTTATTTTCACTCATGGTTCCCTTGCCTCTTCAGTCCTCTTGGACAGCTATCTGTCATCCTGGAAGAAAAGCATTGAAGTGGATCTCATATATTGTAAATTGTAAGCCCAATGTTTGATCTTACTTGATCTTACTGAGAGAACTAAAACTGAGCTGATGCAAGATGTATTCAACACTGATAACCAAAAATATCTGAATACAACCCTCACCTATTATAAAGGCAGTCTTTTTGGAGGACTTTTCACTTCAGCAATTATTTAGTTAATATCTTGTGTTTGCCACACCCAAGAGCCTTTTCTTTGGCCAGATTTTATGCTCTGATTTCCATGTTGCCCGTAAGAGAATTTTTAAAATGCAAGAGCATGTCTGCCTATGCTCAGTAGGAGAAATTGAGATGGTTATGCATTTTTGCTGTGTTCCCTGTTCTGTATAGATTGGAGCATAGATATTATAATGCTCCTTTTATCCAATTGCTTTGGTAGGCCAGATGAAGAAAACACTTTCTTCTTAGCAGCAGATTTTTCTCTAAGGAAGACTAGTAGGGTTGCCAAATTTTACTATATGGAGGTTATTGTTTTAGATTCTTTTTTCTTCTTCCTTTTTGTATGTTGTTTGGAGATGGTTGGAGTCGGATGGCATCTACATTGAATAAATACGTTAAAAACAATTTAGTTTAATTTAATTGTTTGAGAATTTTCTTTTCACTGCCTTTTGATTGCCTTCCTAATTATATGTAACTGACTGGTCTTTGCCTATAAATAAAATACATATTTAAACTTATTTAACATCTCCTTGGAAAAATGTAAAGAACATCTTGGTCAACAGGAGCATTTGTAGTTAATGAATTGATCCCACTTTGTTCCACTATTTTTGGATCATGTGAGTTCTCTGCTAATAACATTTGCAAAAAATCCTACCTGCCCCTTCTTACATGCAGCTGTAATCCAGATCAAAATATTCTAGCTACAAAGGCTCTCTTGATTGCTTTTTTTTAAAAATGTGTACCTTTAATATGTTGTGGTTTTAAATGCAGTTGGATGTTCCTGGTCCATTCCTTGCCAACAGGAGATATCACTGGCTTTAATGAGCACTCCTAGTAAGCATTTTGCACAGTGTTAGCATAGGTATGGGGGAAGTTGCCATTTAGGATTGTCCCCCCAGTGTTGCCCTGCTTCTGAGGCTGGGTATTCTGCAATAATGGGACTTGTTTGTATTGTCATATTTCATTGCTGTTTGTTTGTTTGTTTGTTTGTTTGTTTTAGAGAGCTGCAGTCAAGGGAATAACTCAGGTGGTGGTTTCCCGCATTTTTATGGCTGCTCCTGGCATGAGTAAGCACTAAGTATTTCTCTTTTGTTGGACTATAGTTTAGCAAGCTTATTTAGAGGTGGGCATCAGAAGATAGGTATCCAGTACAAACTCTGTTGATAAAAAATTATGAAATGTGCATCATGACATCAGAACACTAACTCCAGCATTTCATTCTTGTGTCCTGATATCAGATGCAAGTATATAGTCATGTGGTTGATATCATAATGTACATTTCATCATTCACCCCCCTTGCATTGTCCTCTAGTGCAACAGCCTCCAACTTGGTGGCCTCCATATGTGCTGGAACTAAAACACCAAGGATTACCAGCCAACTTGATTGCTGATTATGTTGGCTGGGAATCCTTGGAATTCTATGCTAACACACTAGAGGACTTCCCATTGGTGAAAGCTATTCTGGTGGGTTGCACTAAAAGGCTCTTGAAATTATATTTGGAATTGGCCCTCATTTGTTATGATCTTTACAAGCTAGTATGTACTCTAATGAGCCAATTAGTCAGATCCCGCTCCACATTAAAGTCATAATTAGCTTCCCCAATGGTGCCCTTCAAGGTGATAACTAACACTTCCATTACCTTCAGCCAACGGGGGATGATTGGGACTGTCATCTACCCATTTAGAGAGGCCAGGTAGAGGAATTTCTAAACTTTCAAGTCCTTGGGGCTAAGTCCTCTGAGCACCAAGGACTCCACAGTTCAACCCTGAGCTACATATATTCTCTTCTATTGGAATTTCTAAACTGTAGTATTAATTTATTTAGGTTGTTAAAATTCAGATTTAAAACAAGCTTTGGAGCAAAATCCATTATTAATATTTTAACTCTGTGTATGTGTGTGCGTGTATGTGCATGCACGCATGTGCTAAGATGTGTTAGTGGTCTTCTTTAGTATTGTTAACATAGCTACTTCATTTAAGGTGCCAACATAATGCATGAAAACAAAAAGGACTTGTTAAATTGCCTAGTTTCAAATATGGTAAGCTTTTGATCATGTATTGATTATAAACCTTTTAAAATGTTATTATGAGCCATAATGCAAACACTCAAAAGTGTGATCAGGGCTGTTACTGAATGATATTATGTTCTATTTCTCTTGGGAAATAAGAACCTACCAGATTTTCTGTAACATATTGCATTAGTTCCTTTAAATAAGGATACATTAGGATTATTAAGACTTAAGAATTATCCCAGAACATGGGAAGAAATTGTATGTGACTGAAAGAATGATTAGTAGTTGGCCACTCCAGTTCATCTTATTTATTATATCACTGAATGGAGATGTAGGGTAGAGATGATCCAAATGAAAATAACATCATTTTTTTCTTTTTAGTTTTCTTGCCCATTATCATGGAGGCATTAGAGAAATATCCATTCATGAAGGTAAATTGCTTAGAAAATGGAGTGAATTAGTTTGTTGTTGCTGTTGTTAAACAATAAGGAACCAGAAATTCTATATAGTTATGCAGATAATTAGAGACCTACAAGAAGATCTATGTATTCCTCACTTTGGCAATACACTGCATTTGTTAAATGTTTGCAATAGATCATCTGCACATAACTTGATAGCAGATCTGCTGCTGCCAGCAGGAACAAGAAGAAAAACAAGGCAAGCCTCCAGTAGGGAACAAAGCAATTGGAACAAGTTGTTTTTAATTTTGGCTGTTTTTATTGTTTTTTACTCTGTTTTAATTGTTAGCAGCCCAGGGTCATGTATATGAGATAGGTAGCCTATGTGTTTATTATATAAATAATTTTTTTTAAGTCATTATGAAAGGACCCAAAAAAGGATCTAGTTGCTACTGCACAAAATTATATCAAATACTAGAAAAAGCTTGTTTGCTATCATTGGTTTGCATACCACAGTAAGCCATAGTGTAGTTGGTTGGGTTTGGGCTTAGCAAGCTGTCTGAATTCAGCCAGTGGTAATTTATTCAGGAAGCCATTTTAAACCTGCTGTGGCTTAGCATGATATGAGAATCCAATCAATGATAGTAACTGGATGAAAAAACAAGTTTCCACTATAACAGCATGAAGTTGCCAGTTCATATTTTACAGTTTGGTAGCCATCTGTTAAATGCATCTATTCAATAGAATCATTCTGCAGAATGAATCTATGAGTATCCTATTTAACCTAAAATTTCACTTCCCAGAAGCCCTGTAGTACCCAAGGTTCTGATTGGATATTGTTCAGAAGAATAAGTTATTTTTCTACTTACTTATTTGCTTATTTATTAAAATGTGTACAATCAAACTCAGTGATTTACAGTACTAGAACATCTAGCAAGAAGACAATACATTAAAACATCCACAATAAAAACTAAAACAAGAAACCAAGTTCTAACCACAGTAACTAAAAAAACAATAAAATCAGACAAGTTTAGACATCCTATCATTCACTATAGGCCCTCCAGAACAACTCAGTTTTCAAAGCTTTCTGGTAGGCCAAAACTGTGGGGCCAACCTGATTTCTAATGGGAGGTTGTTCTGTAATATAAGTGCTGCTACTAAAAAGCAGCACCTACAAGACTCCACTCCATGTACTTCACAGAAAGTGAGGATCACCAGCAGTTTCTCCCAGATGCAAGTTGGGTGGGTTGATTCCCCCTGGAGGAAATTGTCCTGCAAGTACCTCAGTGCAGAGCCACACCGGCTTTATGACCTGCACTTTGACTCATACCCAGCTAATAGGAAGCCATTGCAGAAACTAGAACACAGGTATAATATAAGAGTCAACTAATATCAGGCAACTGCATTCTGGACTCTGGCCTTATTGCAGTCTTGTTGTCTTCTAAGACAGCCCCATGTAGACCATATTGCAGTAGTCCTGATGTGTAGTGATGTACCCCAAGTTGAACAAAGCTCTCCCAGGTCACAGCCTCCATTTGCTTACATAGCAGGAGCCACTAGTCAGGAAGACCCCCAAATCACAGACCTACTCCTTTAGGGGCAGTGCCATCCCTTGAGAGACAATAATAGAACAGCCACAGTACCTCAATGAACAAGCAGCAACTCTGTCTTTGCTTGAATTCAGCCTTTTTGTCCCATCCAGTTCTTAAAAGCTTCCAGACACCAGGATAAGACCTTGATAGCATCTCCTCACTAGCCTAGGGTAGTGATGTACAATTGGATATCAGCATATTGCTGATACTAAATCCTAAACTGACAGATGACCTCTTTCAGCAACTTAATGTAGGAACATTGTGTTCTTAGATCCCAAAAGAAAAGAGATGTGTATTGTTTATTTTCTTTATGATCTCAGCATTAATTCTAGGAACTAAAAGTTTGAATTCTCACTTTCTTGGCATCATGTCACCCATGTTGCTTTCTTGACAGAAAATCCAGGTTCTCCATGCTCCCTTGCAAACAGTTCTTGTTGGAGGGTTGTAAGTATGCTATATCTCATATTACTTTAAATATAAGAGGCCAGTTTCATTTGAAAGAATGCTTAAAAGCTGCATTGGGAAAAAGTAAAGTTAAATCTCCCTGAAGTCAAGTGTAATTCCTGGTGATTTCCTAAAGCTATCTACAAAGCTTAAGGCACCCATTTTGTAAGGAATCTGGTTACAGAAGTGATATTGGAAGGCTACAATTTGTGCACCACTGCACTAAGACATAATGTGGCTTTATTTGGTTTGGCATAGTGAGTTATGTGAACCCAAGCACTGTGGTTTGAAAACTATGATTTATGGCATTATGTGTGGGATATTTAAGAAACAATGGTTTAATTGCTTAATGCTTGGTTAAGCAAACATGGCTAAATGCAAATTTACTCTGTATTTGTATGTAGAAAGGGATGTGTTTGTATTGCATGTGGGAATGGGCATTGGACAGCTAGAAGATCCAGTGCATCTTATTGTGAAGAATCCTGCCAGAGGTGTAACTTCTGCCTGGCTGTTTGAAGCTGAGAGAGCAGTTCTGGATTCCCTGTGGAGAAAACAAATGTTGGCCTTTCTTTTTAATGGTCTGCCTTTGCCTTGCAGCCTTGTGTTCATGGTCCCAGTTGCCTGTGCACTTTTCCCACAGAGAAGGTACCAATCTCTTTCCTCTATCATTTTGTCCCTCCTGACTGCCCTATATAATTTTGGCATAATCTGAGCTGGGAAGGCATGGGACAGGAGGGATGGGGGGCAGGACCATATCTGAAATAAAGTTATCCATGGGGATCCTTGGAATCGAGTAAGGAAACTGCAAGATGACACAAAATCCACCCCCTATCTACTTGCATGTGAATGTCACAACATGCTTTGGTGTCATTGTGGCTAACTGCAGTCAGCTATGCAATTATTAGTTTGGATACAAATCCCATCAACAATGGCTATGCTGGCTCTGGATGATGAGGGTCATTCCAATCCTTCTGGAATGCACCAAGTTGAAAAAGACTAATGTAAGAATGATTCCTTTTCTTCTAGACAGGAATTATTTATGCTGATGTGCGACAGGTGGTTTCACCTACATACTTGGAGTAATTCTTTTCTGTGGTATATTTCTGCCCATTCATACACATTCTCTTTTAAAGATGAAACTCTGAAAACATCTAATACATAATTTGTTCCCAAATCCAGCCACAGGAAGCTGTGATTGTGACTTACATGCTGACTTTCTGCTCAGTTGTACTTGAATCCCAGGCCAGTTGTAAAAAAGAGACCTTGTAACAGTCATATTTGGTTAGGGCATTCTGTGGACTCTAAATACCATTCTGTGATCAGGGCTGGCCCAAGACAGTTTTCTGCATGAAGAAGAGAAGTGATTGGCACACATATCCCCAGTCCTGTTATTTCAGTGCCACCCTGCTTGATTATTGTGGCTATGCTCATTTCATAGGAGAAACAGTGAATTTTGCAAGTAAAACTATCAGCTCAGTCTTACACCAAGGTTAATGTGGCAGAGCTCTCAATCTTATTTTTGTCTCCTCAGCCAGTATCACACCATCCTAATAATACTCTGTCTTTGGGCCAGTACCAAGCAGCCTATAGCACATAGGGGAACAATGTGTTTTCTTCTTTTTTCTTTCTAGTTCAATTGCACTTTCACACCTGGAGCCGGATCTCAGAGAACAAATTGTGGCTGAACATGGGGACAAAGTGACTTTTGCCTATTTTAACAAGGGATTATGAGTGAGAACTGCCTGAACTTGGTGCATTATCCCACTTTGGACTCCATCTCCTGGACAACACCCTGATAGGATGTTGTCAGGAACAGAGCTCAGAATATTCTAGAAAGAGCAGCACTCCATCTCCATTCTTCTTTTCCCTGTGTGAGTGTTTGTATGTGTCTGTGTGTAGAGAGAAATCTGGGCAAATCTGAGCTTTTCTTTCTGCCCTATCTGCATGGTGACAAATAGTCTGGGTTTTAGAATGTGTCATTTTCTGCTTTGTGGCAATGGTGAGAATGAATCACTTGTGGTTGATGATGTTCAGAAATGGAATTATTCTGAAGCAGTTGTTCCAAGCCTTAAGACCTCCTTGGTCCTTTGTGAACACAAAATATTTCCTGAACCATGTTCCTCTCTGTTTTGAAGGCCATACCTAAGTGTCTCTAATCCAAAAAGGAGCCTGCAACCCTATACACATTTACTCAGGAGCAAGATTCATATAACTCAGGAGAGTTACTTCTGAAAAGATATGCATAGCACTGCATTCTGATTTAGGAATTAATTTTTGATATCAGTCTATCCTACTTCACCGGTCATAAATTCTACATTTTAACTGAACCAGATTATATTGTTAAAACTTTCCATTAATCAGTGTATATATGATTATATTACCATGCTTAAATTGACAAAATAGAATTTTGTTCATTCTGTCTGTATATTCTCATCTAGCTACCTAATGCATTGTTGTATTAATTACTAACAAATATGTTAATTAAGAGCTAATTCAGAACTTTGTTAGATAGCATGGTTATGCAGTCTTGCAACAGATGTAGCATCCTTTACATTTAAACTATCTAGCAGTTCAGTTTGGTGACCTTATCTTCAATCATGTACAAATAAGCACTATATATAATTTGTGAAAATAGCTGGTCTGCTTGGTTTTTATCTGCTCCTAAACTTGTAATTTTTCTTAATTCATAATGTTGTATAAGAATTATGACTAGAAAGGTCTAGCATTCTTTTCCCATAGTGCACTGGAAGATACCCCTAGGAAGCCCTTAAATTGGACATGAAAGTGTACAAATAAGAGTCTTCACTTTGCAGGATATTCTTTGCTGCATATTTCAAAGGTTAGCTTTCCTTCATCTGATTAATTAGCCTGAAAGCATGAGAATCCAGACATGTGGCTTGCACCTATGGGAAGAGAGGGCCCTTTTCTAGAGCTATTTTTATTGTCCTTAAAATCATGGTGGACCAAATTTAGTGACCCAGCACAGGGGAAAAAAAGAACTTTAGGCTTGAGAAAAACTCCAAGAATTAGGCAGAAGTTTTTGTTGTTGTTGTTTAGTCGTTAAGTCGTGTCCGACTCTTCGTGACCCCATGAACCATATTGCGCCAGGCCTTCCTGTCCTTCACTGCC